AAAGCTGTTGGAATTATCAGAATTCAAATTCGAGGTCTTTTATACATAGGTCCACATCCGGTCAACGTTTCTAACTTAAATTTTCAATTATGAGACTAAGTATCTCATTTCACTTTGAATTCCTTTCGGACCCTAACCAACTACCCCGGCAAGTCATAAAATAATTATAAAGCATAAATTGAGCAGTAAATAGGGGAACGGGGCTGTAATACTAAAAATGACAGGTCGGATCGTTGCAAATAAGGTATGGGAACTCATTCCTAAACCCCCAAATGCATCCATTGTTGAAATAAAATGGGTGTACAGAAATAAGTTAAATGAGTCTGGACAAATATTATAAAATAAAGCTAGTCTGGTTGCTCAAGGCTATTCATAACAAGAATGAATTGATTACGAAGAGACTTTCGCTCTTGTTGCTAGGTTAGAATCTATTCACATCTTATTAGCATATGCTGCTCACAAATATTTTAGACTATTTTAGATGGATATGAAAAGTGCTTTCTTAAATGGGTTCATCTATGAAGAAGTATTTGTTAAGCAACCTCTAGGATTTATAAATGAATCCTTTTCAAATCATGTCTACAAACTGCCCAAATCCTTGTATGGTCTAAAGCAAGCTGCTAGAGCTTGGTATGAAAGGTTGAGTTCATTTCTAGTCGAACATGGGTTTGATAGAGGTAATATTGATACTACTCTTTTTATCAAACGATCGACTGAAGGTAATTTAATAGTATAAATCTATGTGGATGATATTATATTTTGCAGTACTAACCTTGTTTTATGCAAGGACTTTTCAAATATCATGAAAGGGGAATTTAAAATGAGTATGATGGGAGAATTAACCTTCTTCCTTGGGCTTCAAATCAAGCAAGTACAGAAAGGGATTTTCAATATTCAAACAAGTACACAAAAGAACTCATCAAAAAGTTTGGCATGTCTAATGCAAAGGCCATAGGGACTCCTATGAGTCCGTCAACTACACTGGATGAAGATAAAGATGGTAAGAGTATCGATGAAATAATGTATCGGGTATGATTGGTTCTCTACTCTATCTTACGGCTAGTCGACATGATATTTTGTTCAGTATTTGCAAATGTGCAAGATATCAATCAGCTCCCAAAGAGTCCCACTTGAATGTTGTTAAACATATTATCATATATTTGATAGGGACAATCGACTATGGATTATGGTACGAAAGTTTAAATATCTTTGATCTCAAAGGTTTTTCAGATGCAGACTTTGCAGGAGATAAAATTGACAGGAAAAGCACAAATGGAACGTGCCACTTACTTGGAAAATCTCTTATATCCTGGCACAACAAGAAACAAAGTTGTGTTGCCCTATCTACTACTGAAGTAGAATATTTGGCTGTAGGCAATTGCTGCACATAAGTTCTATGGATTATGCATCAACTGTTAGACTATGATTTACGTCTTAATTGCGTTCCTATTATGTGTGATAGCACTAGTGCTATTGTCTTTCAAAAAATTCTGTACATCATTCTAGGGCTAAATATATTGAGATTAAGCATCATTTTATACGTGATCATGTTGCTAAAGGTGATATTATGTTAGAATTGTCAATACTGAAAATCAGTTAGCAGATATTTTTACAAAACCATTGCTCGAAGAAAGATTTTGTTTCCTTCTTGACAAAATTGGTATTTGTTTAATTCTCGCCTAACTGTTCAAAAATTTTCCATAATTGTCTAAGTTTATAAATTTTTTCATAATTGTTCTTTGTAATTTTCGCCCGAAAAATCTTTTAATACTTGATTATTCTGTACATGCATTAATGACTGAACTGACGGCGGGCTTGTAGAAGGCAACTTTTCAGTTGCCCTTCACACGTCTCTTCAAGAATCGAGGAGTCCATTCAAACTCTTTTTAATTTCTTCCCCCTCGATCATATCTCCTATTCTATCAAAGAAAATCATTCTCTCTCGTTGCTCTCTTTTACTCATGGTCAAAACCAAACCCTCTCTTTCCTTCTCCATGCCCAGAAGAAGCCATCACTTCAAGAAAAACCATCAAACTGATGATCCTGTAGACGTAGAATCCTCAAAAAGCACATATCATCCAATGTTCGAGGATGATTCTAGTGCTTCTCAAGAAGATATTCTCATCTCCCAAAAGAGGGCTGGAAAGTGTCCAATGGAGACCATCCCCAAATAATCGTCTCAAAAAAGAGGGAAAACTGAAAGTATAGAGTTTGGCCCTGAAGACAAGATAAATTTCTATGGCCCCGAAGAGAACGCTAGATTTGTCGCTTTCAAAGGGAAGTCGATTGCTTATGGTCGCACTGTAAGTTTGAAATCTATGAAAAACTCTCACTGTGATGTTATCTCTGTGTTTGATACTCAAAACCTTGTCTTTCTATTTGCTACTGTTGGTGATACTGTCTATGAAGAGCATGTACGTATGTTTTATGCAAATCTGTTTGTGATTGATAAAGATTGATCTAGAATCCATGGTTTTAGGAACGCGTATTATTCTTGACGCTTATCAGTTTGAGAAAATCTTTGCAATAAAGTTTGTTGAGTATAGTTTATTTGTGCAACATTCTTGGCCTGATAATTTTGACGTGTCGTTTGAGGAAGCAAAAAATGTGTTGTCTGAAAACCCCCTTAATATTGGTCCAAAAAGTTTGAAATTTGAATACCGTGTACTAGCCCATATTATTGCTACCACTTTGTTACCTCATACTGGTTCTCTTAGTACCCTGTCTCTTCGAGATGTGTTTGTCTTGTACTGTCTGGTAAACGGGAAGGCTATTTATTGGTTTACTTGGGTACGTCAGTACATGCTTGAAAGCATCAGGGATGTTTCAGCGAACAATTTGCCCTATGGTTTACTAATCTCTCACATCTTGCAAGTTATGAAAGTGGATCTATCTCTCTATGCCCCTAAAACTATCTCCGGCACATATGGCAAGATTGCCTTTGCCATGATGGGATATACCTTGATTGAGGAAACTTGGCTCAAGAAAGACAAGGCACCTAAATCCATCCCTCTACAGGGCACTGAAGGGATTAAATCTGAAGCCAGCAAATCCTCTTTCTCAGATCAGTTGTTGCTAATGCAGCAAAATATTGCAGGTATCAAGAAATTGCTAATTATAGGAAAGGGTATTTTTCAACTTTATATTTTACTTGTTCTATATAGCTATATTTATTCCTTAGGTAAGATGAACATTGATCTCAACAACTAGAGGTAGTGCCTTTGTACGATAAAAACTCATTCACATTTAACATTTCACTAAATCAATAAATGTAAGACATATTTTTCATATACACATTTGTTACTTAACTATAATTAACTTATATGTATCCTTATTTTAATTTATAATTTGTGAAGATTAAATTATTTGATTTAGTATAAATACCGAGTGCGTGAATATGTATTGGTTTTGCGGTTTAAAAGATTTCAATCTTTCAATGGTTGCAATCTTTCATGAACATGTTATGCATTTAAAATGATGAAAAGAAGGTCTTCAATTAAGAACAAATGTGATGCATTTAAATGGCAAATTAAAGTTGACTAATATTTCGAATGATTTCTAATAATTGATTTTTTAAAACATATTTTGTAGATTTCAAAAGTAAGTAACAATATTATATTGGTTTTCGTGTAACTTATAGGTCATGGATTCGAGTTAGGGAAACATTTATTAATGTTTGCATTAGGGTAAAATATTTATATCACACCCTAGGGATACCACCATTTTCCGAATCCTACATAAGTGTGAAATATTTGTGTACCACGCTGTCCTTTTTTTTATTTATCAACAATATATATAATTTAGAATTGCTAAAAAAATATTACTAGAAAACTTAGTTCGACATTCAAGATAGGAACAAGGCCAAATCACTTGAATGAATAGACCATGTTTTATATGGATTTCACTATATATGGCCTCACTGCCTCACCCAATGGTTTTTGGGATATATGACTACAGCAGAATGACTGTAAGATAGTCAAATATTTAAATTATTAATCACATTTGCGATCAAATCAGTAGTATTATATATTTGTATTACTTAAAGTATGGAGCCTCAATCATTGATTAATATTTTAACATTTTATTGAGATCCATTTCTTGTCTTGATGCCCTTAGACAGCGCAAAATGGACCAAAATTGAAAATAAAATTCAAATGATAAGATTTAAAATTATTTTGGCTAATACACTTGACACCTGACAGTTTTGTAGACAAAAAAGAAAAAGAAGAGTTAAAATTCAACAAGATGTAAGACCTATCTCCTAAACCACAATATTCCAAGGAAAAAGAAAGGAGGAAAAGCATGAAAAGCCATAAAGAAAGGAGGCTCTTGGTTCTTTTGTTCCCTTTAATATTTGACCTATTATTAGAACTATCATAGTAAATCAAATTTTAACTTTAGAATCCTATGTGAAGATTAATCTAACCATTTTGAGTTTCCATTCTGACACCAAGGTTTTCCACGTGTTCTTTTTAATGTATCCTGTATTCAAAAATTATTTACCCGACTAATATTCCGTATCAAAGACGGAGTAAGTACTTCAATTTTATGGTTATTGAATTTAAAAACAACGACCGAAAGCGTTAATAACTGGGTCCTAAATTTAAAATGTCTACTTATTTAATGAACACATTATAATATTAGAATATTATCACGCCAGAAACTATTTACATTTGTTGCCGAAAAAGTGTATAAAATTTATATAATTTTTGTATATAACATATAAAATATATATATATATATATATATATATATACAAAAAAATATATATTTTTCGGCGAAAAAGGTTATACAGTATCATTTTTCTTATAATCAATGAGCAAAGTTATTGGATTTGGTTGAACTTGTATATGTGCTTCTCTACCTTTGCTCCTGTTCCAGAATCGTGCCACGATAGAATCTATCGGGGGTTTTCTACCGGGAGTTTCTCCATTAATAGAACTTGAATCTAATACATGATTAAAGATAAAAGAATCTCATTTAGGTTTGCGTATGAACTCTCTAAAATGCTGTTGTATTCGTGTTTGATCCTCCAAGATCCAACATACACCGGACAATATTTTCTGATAGTCAAAACAACATAGGATCTCTTCTATGCTACCACTTTCCTTTTAGACAAACTATGAATATATTTGATTTATGAAAAAATATGCAGAAACAAAATTATTTCTTCTTTTTGGACTTGCCATTACAGAATAATGAACCTAAACCAAACAAACAAACAGTACCTTTAGAAATATAAGTATGTGGAAGGTTCAAAACAGGACTAACATGAATTCCATTGCCATAAGATCTACTGTAACTCTTTTTCAACGGTCGAGATTGAGCCCTCTTAGATGATGAATGCAATGAATGGCTCTGATTAAAAGATGAAAAACTAGAAGATGAAGAAGAAGATGATGATGATGTAGATGATGAAGATAAAGATGAACTCTTGCGCAAAACTTTTATTTGTTCTTTTTGTGAATTTTGCTTCTGAAAAATCTTTGAATTTTTTTGATTTGGAACTGAACCAGTTGAGTTACTTCTTGATAAAAATTGCAAAGAAGACCATTTTAATCCATTGCTTCTACCATTTTCACAATTCAAACTGTTGCTTCTTCTGAATTGCCAGAATGGTTTTGCTTGTGGCTTCTCTATTTCTTCATCACAATTACTTGACAAAAATTCTTTTAACCTCTTCTTTGTATCCACATTTGTAGCAGTTTCAAGAACTGGTGCTGCAGGTTTAACTTGTAAGGATTGCGCCTCGGACATATACCCGATCCCAACTTGTTTAGGACTGAGTCGTAGTTGTTGCGACTCAGATTGTTGTTGGTGTAAAGATTGCGGCTCCGACATATAGCCGACCCCAACTTGTTTAGGACCGAGACATAGTTGTTGTTGTTGTGGCTCATATTGTTGTTGTTGTAAATATTGCGATTCGAACATATAGCCGACCCCAACTTGTTTAGGACTGAAACATAGTTGTGGCTCATATTGTTGTTGTTGTAAAGATTGTGGCTCAGACATATAGCCGACCCCAACTTGTTTAGAAGTGAGGCGTAGTTGTTGTTGTGGCTCGGATTGATTAATTTCTATAAAGGGTGTTGATTTCTTGACTTCAATTGGTAAGATCTTGCCATTGGAGAAAAGTTCATCAGCAGAAGAGATTTTTTCTTGAGAGAAGCTTTGATTTGTAACACAGAAATCAAAGTCAATGGTGGATTCAAGAAGAAATGCATCTGATCTAAAATGGTGGCATTCAATTGGGATAATATCATCAGTTTCTTTGAGATCATGTGAAAATGAGATTCTTGGACTAACTACTAAACTTGCAATCTCAGAACATACATCCACTGCCATTTTGGTTATTTTTTTTTAGCTTTCTTGATTTTTTCTAGTGTTGTCAATAGTTGTATATAAAGAGGGAAAATTTATAAGGTAGATGGCAAAGGACAAGAATCAAGAAAGGTGAAAAGAAATGATTATTTGTTGAGGTGTTGTTTGTGTAAGATTTGGGAGTCAAAAAGAGAGGAGAAAAGGAAGGTGAAGGTGAAGGAAATGATTTTTGTAAGAATGAAGAGTCAGCTTTTGCCTTTATATATTATTATCTATAATATGCTAAGGCTATGAGCATTTTCAAGATTCTATTATTGGTACAGCAAAGTGGTGTTGCCTACACAATGGCCTGTTTCACTTAGGAGTAACATTGAAATTGACATTATATGCCAATTGCCAAATGATCAAACAAAAGAATAAAGTAAAAGAAATAAAAAGTGCACTCAACAGCTTGGCTTGATGGTCAATAAAGTAAAGGAATTCCTGAAAATTAAGATTTATATTTCAACTTAGACAATAAATATTAGGTGATTTTTTTGTACTTGTATAAATAAGAGGTAACAAAAATTTAGTGAAATAGTTGAGATTCGTATAAACTAATCTGAACACCAACAACAACTTACCCCTACTTTGTGAGCCCCTAATCTGAACACCATCGTCATAAAAAGAAAAATAGGGGAATTCTTGATAATCAAGGTTTAAATTTAAGCAAAGACAAGAAACCTTAGGTGATTTTTTTATCCCTATACTATAGAAGGTAGCAAATTTTTAGTAAAATAGTCGAGATTCGTGTAAACTAATCCGAACACCATCGTTATAAAGAAAAAGAAAAAATAGAAGAATTCTTGAAAATTAAGGTTTAAATTTCAGAAAAGACTACAAATCTTAGATGATTTTTTTTATACCTATACTATAGAAGCTAGCAAACATTTAGTAAAATAGTCAAGATTCGTGTAAATTAATACGAACACCATTGTTATAAAGAAAAAAAAAAGTAGAAGAATTCTTGACAATTAAGGTTTAAATTTCAGAAAAGACTAGAAACCTTAGGTGATTTTTAATATCTATGCTATAGAAGGTAGCAATTATTTAATAAAATAATCGAGATTAGTGTAAACTAATTCAAGCACCGTTATAATGAAAAAGAAAAAGTAGAGGAATTTTTGAAAATTAAGGTTTAAATTTCAGTAAAGACAAGAAAACCTTAGGTGATTTTTTTATCCCAATACTATAGAAGGTAGCAATTTTTTAGTAAAATATTCGAGATTTGTGTAAACTAATCCGAGCACCACCGCTATAAAGAAAAAGAAAAAGTAGAGGAATTCTTGAAAATTAAGGTTTAAATTTAAGCAAAGACTAAGTGATTTTTTTATACCTATACTATAGAAAATAACAAATATTTAATAAATAGCCGCGTAAAGCCGTAAACTGCTGATATAAAGAAAATGAAGGAAAAGTGATTGTATTAATTGGCTATTGTCACCCGAAAGGCTAAGAGAAGGAATGAACAACCCTCCACCTTATAGTGGTTTCCAAAGAAACTTTACCTTTTGAAAAATGAGAGCAAAAGAGAAATAAGAAATTATTTAAAAAGGAAAATCTTCACCTTCAAGGATCTATTAGTGAAAGTGAAAACTCTAAAGTGAAACTGGCATTTTGCGGCAAATTAAATCTGGTGGGACCACTTCGCCTTGGTAGAATACAAATTACTAAGATGTCTTGTCGGAATAAAAACAGAATTAGATAGAATAAACAAATTCAATTTCAGATAACTTGAGTTAAATGTAAGAAAGAATGATTTTTGCTGCAATTATTATAACAAGAAAAATAGGAACTTCTCTAGAGACGGTAATAATTTGTGTGGTAATAATGGCCGAAGAAGATGAGAAAAAAGAACACTTTAGTGTACTAAACTCTTGTTATGCACGTAAAATATAAATTTCGGTAGAGACAATATTAACTTGGCGACAACAATGGTCGAAAATCCTATAAGGATTGGGTGAGTTGGTTGGTTGCGTGATTTCTCATATGGGAGACCTAGGATCGATTCCCCTCGCTCGCAACTTCCTCCATCAGAATTCGTCGCACCGAGTTTGCCTAGTGCGAATTACATCTTTTGCATGTTACCCAATGTGCACCCGAAGAGTAGTGGCTGCAGATTTCCCTAGAAATTTTTTAAGAAAAAAAGAGATAAAAAATGATGAAATAACAGACAGTTCAGTGCACTAAACTCTCGTTATATACCAGTTATGGACCATAAATAATAGTGTGTATTGTATACTATTATTGTTGAAAAAGATGGAACGAGAGGAAATTTTAATGAGCTAGAAGTGAGATAAATGGGGAATTATGGACCTTAAATTCCTGCACGTTGAAGCCCTAATGTCTGCTAAAAGAGATGCCTAGTTCCATAATTGTGTTCCATAATATGGAAAACCAAGACAAGGATGTAGCCATTTGAAAGTGAAAGCAACAATTGCGACATTTTTCATTGTATGCCTTCATTTTTTAGGAGAAAAAAGACGGTCAATTGATTGTTTGGTTTTTTATAAATTTATTTTTAATTTTATAATTATACCTCTTTTTTTTTATATATGAGAGATTTATTTTTACACATAAGAGATCTAAAAAAGATATTTTCTTAAATTCAACATTGTAAAAGGTCAAGAAGGCCTAAAACCTCGAAAAAAGAACCATTTTGGCTTAAGTCAATCTAAGATTTTGATAATTAAATAGTAGTAGTAACTTAGGGCTTGATTTTATTGTTTCATAAGTCGAGATCCTAATATTTGTATTTATGTGTTTCTCTTTTCATATATTATTAAAACAATTCAAAATTTTCAATATTTTCTTCTCTAGCGGTGCAGTATATATGAATAAAATTTAATGGACAAAATATTATGTTAGAAGCTTATGCGCAATAAGTAGAACACGTCTAAAATGAAAATTTTCCTTGCAAAAATTTAAGAAAAATAACACTCTTACGGACTTGAGACGAAAAGAAACAAAAACCCAAAATAATTTATAGGAGTATTAGATTTGAACTGATGACACTGCTTAAATAGTAACTTATTAAATTCAGAAAAATTTAACTTACCTAATAATCGTTTCGAATCAATGCAAATGGGGTCAATATATCACTAGCAAAAAGCAGTAAATAATTATATTCTAGATGGATCTGAAGTAACATCAGTCTAATCTTACTTAATACAAGTAATTATTCAAGCCTAAGTGGAAAGCTCAATCTAATTAAAGGTGGAAGAGGTAAAAGTAGGAAAATGTAGATAAATGTAAGGGTAACAATTGATTGTAGTGTAATATGCTTCAATAAGTCTACATTGTGCTTTAGTACTTGTACATTACCATAGCAAAATGGTTTTGATATTACTACTTTTCGTAAATAAAAAAAAAAGGTGGAATAATAATATTCAGATAGTTGAAATCTTTCCACCCATTAATGATTTCAAATTCAATTCATAAAAATAGAAAATCTAGCGTTTTACTCCTTTCTTGAACATAATTGATGTGATTTTTTTTAAATTTTTTATTGTTTTGGATATCCTTTCAATCTGAATTTGCATCGCGTAAAACTCAAAAAAGAGGGCTCCTTATTATGACTTGTTATATCTCTGTATAATTAAATACAGTATAATTTAAAAGAAAAAAGGACGTGTGTGTACAAAAATTTATGAAATAGAGTAATAATGGAAGATCCCACGTGGACGAGTAAGAAACTGAGAGAGTAGTGAGAAGTTTCATAAAATACATCCTTTGCTGGCATTTTCAATCATTCTTGAAAAAGCATATCATGTTACTGCAATAAACCCACTCCAAACAAACTCTTGTCCTTTTTCAGGACATATTTGGCATCTCCTATGTGGGATTTTTATTATGGTATTCCCCAAATAATTAATCAACCTGCCACAATTGCAATCCTGTCCATTTGTTTGGGGCCATACTGCAACTTCTTAGTTTCTTCTCCAACCTCTCATCTTGTCTATGCATTTATTCATTTTATCATCTCAATCCATGTTTACCCGTAAAACAGTAGTGTTGAATTTGTAATATGATTTATAGACAAGGAAATCGATTTGATCTAAAAATAATAAAGAAATAGGATAAAAATAATATTAGCAAATAAAGAGAATAACAAGCCTCAGCTTGAGCTCGGTTTTTCCTTAAGCAAGAATAGTAACAACGATAGAGCAATGATAAAATTATTTGGATTGAGCGTTGAATAATAAAGTTTTTTTTTTTTTTGTGCAGAATGTTTCATGTCCTTTACAAGAATCGTCAATCTGATATTTATAGCTATCTTTAGGAGGCAAAATCCTGAAATCAAACTCTTCTTGAATGAGAATAAATATGTCATTGATGGGTGCATAACGGCTGGCTTTGAATGCAAATATTCTCTGTAACGGCTGCTCATTTAATGTTATCCGATGTCAAGCCTCCGAATTTTTGCTATCGATTATGCTTCCTTCGGAGTTTACTCTGTATCGGTTATGTACCTTGCAACCAGGGGCGGAAGTAGTGAAGTAGCTACGGGTTCGCATGAACCCAGTAACTTTTGCTTAAACTCTATATTTGTATAAGAAAATTTATTAAATATATAAAAATATTTAATTGTGAACTGAGTAACTAAAATGAGTTACGGTTCAATGATAAGATCGGAACCCATAACTGTAACGATCTGGTCGATCATTTAGAGAATTAGCGTCCCGTTTTGTGGCTTAAGGTCTCGAGCAACTTCGTATTATGTATTATGACTAGCGTGTGTGGTCGAGTTCGGATTTCGGATGATTTGGGATCAATTTGGAAGAAGGATTCTTGTTTTAGAAGCTTAAACGATAAGAGTTGACCGGAGTTTGACTTTTGTGTAGATGACTCTGAAATGACGTTTTGATGATTCCAATAGCTTTGTATGGTAATTTTGGAATTAGGCGTGCATCCGGATTTGAATTTGGAGGCCCGTAGGATAATTTGAAGCATTTTGGCGAAAATTGGAAAGTTGAAGTTTTGGAAAGTTAAAAGGTTTGACAAGGAGTTGACTTTGTTGATATGGGCTCAGATTACGATTTGAAGAGTTGGATTAGCTCCGTTATGTCATTTGAGACTTGCATGCAAAATTTGACGTCATTCCGGGTTGATTTGATATGTTACAACACGAGTTGTAGAAGTTAAAAGTTCATAAGTTCATTAAGTTCGATTTGAGGT